AAATTTAATTAAATTATGTATAATAAAGACATTAAATTTAATTAAATTAAATTTACTAAAATATTAAAATAAAAGTAAAAATATGTTTAATTTCTTAGTAATAAACAGAAGTATTAATAATGTAAGTTAAGTTATGTTAATAATTAAATTAAATTGACTTATTGACTTAATAACATTTAAAAAAAAGTCACATTAAGACACAAATATGTTGCTGATTGTAAAATATTTCATTAGTTTAATTTAATTTAATTTAATTTAATTTAATTTAATTTAATTTAATTTAGTTTAATTTAATTTAATTTGTATGCTTAATTAAAAAAAAAAAAAATACAAAATTGCAATCATTGTATAATTTCTCTGCTCTGGTATTTTGCAATTGTGCTCTACGTCTTTCATTGCCATGTTATCAGCGCTCCTCTAAGTTTCCCTCTCCAGGCTGAACTGTGTGACATTGCCTGATGTACAGTATCAGAGATTAACCAGCATGAAGCCCCGAAATATACAGGCATCCCTTCAGTCTGGACTTAATCCATCCGCAAGAGACAGAAGTGCATGACTAAGAGTCTTGTTGCAGAAGAAGGCTCTTGGATTTAGTTTTGTCAAACCCACTGAATTCCTTTGAGACTTTTCTCTTCTGTGTTTCATTCTTGTCCAGCCAAACTCAAACTCACTTTTCAGCCAAAAAAAAACCCAGTTGTACAATCCATGTCTTCACAGGCCTGAGAATGTAGTGTTTCTGCTCATTACTCAGCTTTACTTTGCAGAGCAGCTTTACTGTGATTTTACACACTGGAACTGCTTGTGGAATTTGCTGTAGTGAATGTGAGTTACAAATATACTTTAAAAAAACAGTTAACAGATAAGATTCCCAAATTGTTTCTTTGAAAATACTGAATTTGTGTGCGCAAAAGATGTGATATGTGAAAGAATCCTTATTCAGTAACAAGATGGAGCCAAAAAGGCAAATATGCAAAGCTGACAGAAAAGAAACCGGTTGAATGGAGAATACACTAACATACATGTTATTCATTCACAATATGGCAGCAAACTGTCAAAAACTGTAGTGTGACAAACTAGCAAATACAAATGAATGTGGATGTAAGTTTATGAATTTGAAAAGTATTCACTGATGGTCAAGCTGATTGGAAGTTCTTGGACTTGACTTGTTTTGATTACTTGAATTGACTTGACTTGAATTTTCCTGACTTGACTTATTATTTTTTTCTTGACTTGAATTGATTCGACTTGACTTGAATTTACTTGACTCGAATTTACTTGACTTGTTTTGATGACTTGAATTGACGACTTTACTTGAATTGACTTGATTTAACTTGACTTGACTTGACTTGCAGTAAATTGAATTGACTTAAATTGACGTGACTTGACTTGAATTTACTTGACTTAACTTGTTCTCATGACATGACTTGACTTGAATTGACTCGACTTGACTTAAATTTACTTGACTTGAATTGACTTGACTTGAATTTACCTGACTTGACTTAAATTTTTTTGATTTGACTTGAATTTACTTGATTTAACTTGACTTAACTTGAAGTGAATTGACTTAAATTGACTTGACTTGAATAGAATTTACTTTACTTGACTTGACTTGACTTGACTTGAATTTACTTTACTTAACTTGTTCTGATGACTTGAATTTAATTGACTTGACTTGACTTGACTTGACTTGACTTGAATTGACTCGACTTGAATTTACTTGACTTGGCTTGGCTTGACTTGACTTGACTTGACTTGAATTGAATTGACTCGACTTGAATTTAATTGACTTGACTTGTGTTGACTTGTATTTACTTGACTTGAATTGACTTTATTCAATTTGACTTGACTTGAATTTACTTGACTAAACTTGTTCTGATGACTTGACTTGACTTAAATTTACTTGAATTGACTCGACTTGACTTGAACTTACTTGACTTGACTGGAATTGACTTGACTTATTTTGATGACTTGAATTAATGACTTGACTTGATTCAAATTGGAGTGAAATTAATTGACTTAAATTGACTTGACTTGACTTGGCTTGACTTGATGTAAATGACCTGACTTAAATGGACTTTTCTTTATTTTCTAGAATTTACTTCAATTGGCGACAATAATTGATTTGACTTGACTTGAATTTACTTGACTTAACTTGTTCTGATGATTTGATTTGACTTGACTTGAATTTACTTGACTTGACTTGAATTGAACTTACTTGACTTGACTGGAATTGACTTGACTTATTTTGATGACTTTAATTAATGACTTGACTTGATTCAAATTGGAGTGAAATTAATTGACTTAATTTGACTTGTCTTGACTTGACTTGAAGTAAATGATCTGACTTGAATTGACTTGTCTTTATTTTCTAGAATTTACTTGAATTGACGACTTGAATTGATTTGACTTTACTTGACTTGAATTTACTTGACTTGTTCTAATGATTTGATTTGACTTGACTTGAATTTACTTGACTTGACTTGACTTGAATTAGATCGATTTGACTTGTTTTGATGACTTGAATTGACGACTTAATGTAAATTGACTTGATTTGTTTTGATGACTTGAATTTACGACTTGACTTAACTTGACTAGATTTAACTTGACTTGAAGTGAATTAAATTGCCTTAAATTGACTTGACTTGACTTGAATTTAATTTACTTGACTTAACTTGTTCTGATGACTTGACTTGACTTGAATTTACTTGACTTGACTCAAATTGACTTGACTTGTTTTGATGACTTGAATTGACAACTTGGCTTGGGTTGACCTAAGTTGGAGTGAATTTACTTGACTTGACGTAAATTGACCTGACTTGAATTGACTTGTCTTTACTTGACAAGAATTTACTTGAATTGACAGCTTAAATTGATTTGACTTTACTTGAATTTACTTGACTTAAATTGACCTGGCATTAATTTAATTTAATTTAATTTAATTTAATTTAATTTAATTTAATTTAATTTAATTTAATTTAATTTAATTTAATTTAATTTAATTTAATTTAATTTAATTTAATTTAATTTAATTTAATTTAATTTAATTTAATTTAATTTAATAAGAAGTTGTCTGGTTTGAGTCCCGGCTGGGTCAGTTGGTATTTCTGTGTAGTGTATGCATGTTCTCCCCGTGTTGGCGTGAGTTTCCTCCGGGTGCTCCGGTTTCCTCCACAGTCTAGAGACATGCGGAATAAGTGAATTGTATAAACTAAACTGGCCGTTGTGTATAAGTGTGCTGTAGCGACCCCTGATAAACTGGGTCAAAATAAAAGGAAAATAAATGACTTGACTTTACTTAAATTTACTTGACTTGAATTTACTTCACTTGACTTGAATTGGCCATTGAGATCTGCAGTTTAAATGAAGCCTATGTGTCGAGTCAGGTGTGAGAATGTGTTTAATTCAAAGGGAGCATTACAGCAAATCGTGTTGTTAGACGAAGCATCTCAGCCTTGTAAACTAAAACGTGAACATGAACGAATCCTACAGTATCCAGTCATAATGGACACATGATTCAACACAATGCCCCAAATCACCCTAAACATGTTTTGTTACATATTTTTCTTCATTTGGAGAATCTGATTCTCCATGGCTCTAACACTCTAGTTTGCCTACAGCCAGTGTATTCCTGTGGGAATTTAGTTGTGATTTGAGTATATGCTGTATTGGGTAGTGCATATTGTGAAGGCTGCTGATGAGATGAATGTGTCTCTGCAGGATCGCTAGTTAGTGGTCACATGAAAGCGCTTGTTTGAAACGACAGGCTGCCGTGTTTTCTTTGATTTTCAGCTTTTTTTGAGAGCCGAGTCCAGGATCAATGAGCTCATTTATTAAAGACTCGCTTTATCTAATAGCTCTTTCATCGTCTGTCCCTTATAGCCATGCTTACAGCTTTTCTGTTTTATAGAAAAAGAGGAAAGTTTTAGTAAAGTGCTGAGTAAACTGCTCATGAAAACAACATTTTAAGGCTGTCTATGTTCAGAATTAAAAACGTAATATAATAGTTAGTTATATACTGTATATGAAAATATATTAGGAAAAAATATATACATATACACATGTGAAATAAATTATTTATATATTTTTAAGTTGCGATTTTTTTTGTCTTTACATTTTTGTCTTTTTTTATTAATTTACTAGATTTTTACCAATTTTACTTTAGATTTTTTTTATAGCAACAACAGTGATTTAAATATGTTTGTCAAATAAATGGAAACAATTTCAATATATAAGCAATATCA